CTGCGCAGACGCAAACTTTAGTCCACTTGTTTAGTGCGCCAGAGGATTAAATTAACCCTCCTGATTGGCTCTCGGTGTAGCCAGCCTCATAGTTAACTATGCATTTGGTAGCATCTGAAGTGCTAAACTTATGATTACTATAGACATTCATACATCTAATTATAGATTTGTAATATAGGATCATATTCTACAAATAGTAAACTAATTTTTAAAGCAAAAAAAATTGTAAAAAAATTTTTTTTACACGAGTTTCCCCCCTTAAATAACCACACAGCACCGAGACTTTCCTAAAATTTGACATAAAACAGTATTCTCAAGGTTGATCAACTTAAAACTTGATGCTAGGTAGACGTCCCTCTCATGCTATTCGCACGGGGTGTCTGACGCTTCTGGCCATCCGCCAAGATCATGTGACGGTGGCCCTCTTCAAAACCAAGCGTACATCACTTGTAATAATAGTTAGAAATCGGCCGGTAAATATTTATACTAAATATTATCGTAAGTCGATAAACATGTTACCGACCGCAGAATACAGCAACATAGTACCCGATTTCGCCGTGCAGGCCGTATCGCTGAAAGCTCTCTCGCGTACGCTCAGACCACCGATCGGCTATATAAGCTGCGCTCCCGCTGAGGACCGTCACTCTCGTGCTACACGGAGTTCGGGTGGGTCTTACCCACTTGACTAGGAGTTTTACTCTGAAAATCTTTGTAGAGAGTTTAACCCTCTTTCATCGGGCTTTACTCGTCGAACATTATATCGGTTCTGTATGTAAATAGTGTATAGTAACGAATTGTAAAGTAATGTATAGTAAAGAATTATAAAATAACGTAACAAATGTATAGTAAAGAAATATTGTATTCCCGCAGTTTAAAATAGATTTTCCGTTCTTTTCGCCGTTTTTAATCTCCGTTTTTAGATATACTTAGAGTTTTACTCTTTGTATAATTCGAACACGAGTTTTACTCGTGGTTCACAAGAGTATCGCGTATTTTTAGACAGTATTGCAATTGATTTCACGGCTCATCGCAGCGAGTTGAAGCCGATTTCGTTAATGCGCGGCTCAAATAAGCTACGTTACCAGATTGATGCCGATTCCGAGGCTCAACGTATCGCGATAGACGCCGACAATCGTTGTGTGAAACCAACTTCCGCGATTTATCTGTACGCCTGTATATTTTCGTTACCTGTAAATACCGTTGTAAATAAATAATTTGTTTCAGTTTGTAATTAGCCCGCAATTATCCTGTTATTATTTTTTGTTAGAATCAAAACGAACCCTGGCTCGGCGAGCTAAATATTGATTCTACAATTACAAACGTTACACACTTCATCACTTTTTTCTTTTGTGCTTGGTCGGTGCACCACCACCTCTAGCTCATTTACGTCTACCAGCTCCAGGCTGCAGAACACGCAGACTAGACAATCACGCGCGTTGGAGACTACGGCAGCCATACGGCAGTAAAGGAGACATCGCCCGAAGGGGACAGACGCAGCCTCCCCTCTAACTCCACCAAAATTTTAAAAAGGTCAAAATTTTTTTTAGGGATATTTTACTATCAGGTAGGACAACAATTTCCTTAAGTGTCACTTTTTTCGAGAAATCAATTTTTTAACTGAGGACATGATACGTGAAATGCCTCATATATATAAAAAACGTATCGCAAATGCGGACCGCCCGCGTAGTTTTAGTTGAGTGTAGAATCAGCATGAGCGTACCCTGTCCCATGCCAATCTTTGCAACCGCTCTCGCTACTGCAGTCGTCCACTGCGGGTTCTTCCCTCCCGCCTTTATGGCACCTAGGACTTTGGGACCGTTGGAATGAATTTTCGTTCTATTTCCACTGCCCGGCTCCTGATAGCCATTTTACGCTTCCTGCGAGTAGTATAGCTAAGCGGGTTCTGAGCCACGAGCCGACCTCAGTCGGTAAAGTAGATTGTGTGGGTTTGAGTCCGTGCTAAGTTACCATCAGTTAGGTGATCCCTGTTTTACCGACAGGGTTTGTAGGTAATATTGTTAACGGTTATCGAAATTCATAGAAGGTCATCGAAATTCACAGAAGGTCATCGAAGGGTATTGAATGTCAGTGAAGGTCATAGAATGTTATCGAAGGTCATAGAATTTTTTAGAAATTTATGGAAAGATTTAGTAACTCACGTAATGTTCTAGAAGGTCATAATTAAATTTGCAACAATTGTGGAAAAAGTCAGTCACTGTATAAATATATATATTTATTAAAGTCCTGAAGTGTTAGTGAACTATAAAGTGTTAGTGTACCCCGAATAACCTAGTGACCTTTCTGACATTGAGATTGCCCTAAAGCTGATGCTGTCGTTGGGTTATGCACCCTTAGATCAGATCAATGAATCGATGAACGTGTGCTCCAGGTGCCTGAGGACGGTGCAAAGGGTGCATTACCAAAAACCTCTACTGAGTAATGTTCAGAGACGTCAATGTCTTAATGTTATTGGAAATTTAACTTATTTTAAACTGCAATTTGAGCAACTCTTGAAACAAGGAAGTGGAATTTCATTAAAACAGTGAAAGAGTACAAACTCAGAAGAAGACATAACCCAACGTATACAATAACATTGATTTTAATATTCCAGATTATTCATCATACGGCAACATTCTTGAAGTCGACTTAGAATACCCACAAGAGCTCCACGATCAGCATAATGATCTTCCATTTTGTCCAGAACATGCAAGTCCACCCGGATAAAGTCAAGCAAAGCTTCTTACTACTCTCTCACCAAAGCGAAAATACGTTCTTCATTATCGTGCTCTCAAACAGGCTCTAACAAACGGGTTAGTATTGAAGTCGATACATCGAGTATTGAGATTTAAGCAAACAACGTGGCTCAAGAATTATATCAACTTCAATACTACTCTTAGAGCAAACGCACAAAATGATTTTGAGAAAAATTTATTTAAATTAATGAATAATGCCATTCACGGTAACACGATGGAAAATGTCTAAAAATATGTCAATGTTAAACTCGTAACGAAATGGGAGGGTAGGTATGGAGCTAAAGCTTTGATAGCCAAACCAAATTTTCAAAGTTGAGCAATTTTTAGCGAAAATCGTATTGCTGTTGAACTAAGAAGATCCGAAGTTTTGTTTAACAAACTGTAACAAACTAGTTATTTTTAATTATTGAAATCAGTTAGAAACATCAAATTCAAATAAAATTAGAACTTATAAAAATTCAATTGAGATAAATTGACAACAAACAATAATTGAAACAGGAAATTAAATAATTTAAACAATAATTAGCTCGTATATAAAAAATATATTCTAAAATAAACTTGCTCAAATAAATTTATCAAAATCAACGACTTACAAATTTACGTTCCTTCGTCAAAAATCAAATTACAAGCTACACATTAGGAAACGCACGCGGGCTCGAGCCATTAATTCGAATCACACTCGCACAGATATACAAAATTATGTTACACAAATCATGCTATGAGCAAGATAAAATTGAGTCGGACAAAAATAAATATGAAATATAAAAATTGATATAGTAAAATAATTGCTTTTGATTATAGAGACATCATATCAATAGTTTTATAAAGACAAAAGAAATGATTGAGACAGACACAGACAGTAATGGTTTTTTTGACTTATCATTCGTCGTGGCAGTTGGATTCTTGGCTCTGAGCGGGTTTAACTTTGGAAGCGGTCTGGAGACGTATTGAACCTCGTGAATGAGCAACACCGTGTATTCTTCGTTATGTGATAAGTAGGCTCCTTTTTGTCGGAAGCGGGCGGCTTTTTTCCCCAATATTACACCAACGGAGTACAATTGAAATCAACGAATGAGGACTCTCCCTTGACCCTTCGATCTCCAAGCAAACAGCACAAACTCAATTCCACAAAATGGATGTTAATTAAACGCCACACTCCAGCTCATCGGCGATAGACACGGAAAATGTGGCGCGGAGTCAAACACTTGACCAACGACGAACAATTAGTCTGGACGCGTCCCTTTATCGTTACTTTTATTCGACACGGAATAATTCCCCACCCATTCGTCATTCTCCAGCCCACTTCCATCGTTCTTCGTATTCCTGGCGGGATTCTCAGAAATCATGGCGCTTTTCCAGGAATACGGCGGGAAAAGTCATTCACGCATGTCAACTCTACTGTCTCGATATAAATTTAGGCGGAACAATTCAAATTTGCTAGGCTTGTTAGAATTTGATCCTTTCAAAACCTATCTACGTTGGTCTTACTGTACTTGATGTGTCTAAAATATTTATGTATGAATTTCAGTATGACTATATGCAACAAAAGTATGGTGAAAATTGTAAATTATATTACATGGATACGGATAGTTTCATCTAGAAATTAAAATGTAATGACGTTTACGAAATCATAAAGCAGGACATCGACAAATTTAACACCTCCGATTACCCTGTAGACAATGTGTACGGAATGCTACAGGTCAACAAAAAAGTGTTAGGTCTTATGAAAGGTGAATGTAGTGGTAAGATCATAACCGAGTTTCTTGGCCTGAGGAGTAAAATGCACTGCATACGCGTGAATGGTATCGATCATGTCAAAAAAGCAAAGGGATTAAAATCAAATATTATAAAGAAAACTATTACTTTCAACGATTTCAAACAATATCTTCGAGAAAATGGTAAACAAACACGAATTCAGCATCTTATCCGGTCACGATTACACAATGTAGAAACAATTCGACAAACAAAACTTGCTCTTAGTTCATATGATGATAAGCGTTACTTACTACCAAATAGAACTGATACTCTTGTATGGGGACACTATAGAATAAGAGAAATAGAGAGAGAGAGAGAGAATGATGTGGAAGAATGAGAGAGGGAGAGGTGTTTTCTCTTTGTAATATAAACTGTTAAATAAATAAACGCCTAATGTAAATATTTTATTTCAAAAACCTTATACCTAGTACCATAATTCAATTTTAAATATATATATATATATATTCATAAAATGATTTAACTTTGGTATATAGTTGATTTAACGTTGATTTAACGTGGCTATAATGTTGATTTAACGTTGATTACAAATCTGTATTATCTATCCAACTATTGTGCGTATTATCAAATCCTAACCATTTAACATACAGTTGATTACCGCGTCTTTTCAATACTTTTTCTACTAAATACATTTCGGGATGTTTAACTTTGAGAAATTCAAATTCATAAAAGCCTTCAGCAATGGGTTCATCTTGATAATCCTTTATCTTGTGACTGGAGTTGTAGGCATAACACGATCGTAGTGCAATAAAACGCCGCTTGAGGTCCACCACATCACCAGCAGTCACGTCTTTTGGTTTCATACCAATTGTTAGATGTTTTGTGCCGTACCTGCGAGACAAGTTATCAATTTTTTGGCTTCAAAAATGTAGATCTTCTTTTTGGAAACAACGTTTGTTTTGAATATTTTTCACGAAAATGCGTACTTTTCGTGATATTTCCAAGTTTTCATACTTTTGGAAAACCCTGTATACATATGTGACGCGTCGCGAAAAAAGGTTCCTTTAGAAGCAAATGACTTATAGGTTATATTTACGACAGTTTTGCCTTGATTAAAAGTTTCTTTTCGTTTTTGCAACACAAAAATCATGTTTTATTGATTATTATTGTGTTTCCCCACAGCAGCCAATCTTTACTAAAAATTTCGTAAAGATTTCCTTGAAATCTTGGGAATATTTAATTGCAAAGTTTAATGAAAATTGCATAAAGATTTAAATGTCCCACCAAAATAAATATTTGGCGTAAAAGTTGACTAAAAATTTAAATGAAATTTTCAGGAAATGTTCGTCGCAAAAATTGAGTAAAAATTTAAATGAAATTTTCAGGAAATGTTCGTCACAAAAATTGACTGAATATTTAAATTACATTTTCACTCAACTTTCGCTATAAATTTTTAATGAATATTTAATTTAAATGTTCAGTCAATTTTCGCGACGAACATTTCCTGAAAATTTCATTTAAATTTTTACTCAATTTTTGCAACGAACATTTCCTGAAAATTTCATTTAAATTTTTAGTCAACTTTTACGCCAAATATTTATTTTGGTGGAACATTTAAATCTTTATAGAATTTTTATTAAACTTTGCAATTAAATATTCCCAAGATTTCAAGGAAATCTTTACGAAATTTTTAGTAAAGATTGGCTGCTGTTGGGGTTGATATTATAATTATTATTATTTGAATATAGAAAAGACTTAAATATCATTGGTATACATTTAAATTTAATTCTCTTTGTGTATTTCCATTTTAAAATTACAAAATATAACATACATTTTTTTTGCTTCTAAGATCCCTTTCTTCGCGACGCGTCACATATTCTTTTTTTTACACTTTCACTTACTTTTTTAACATCTTTCCTTTCACTTTTTTCTTTTCTCTCTCTATTTTCCTTCCTTTCATTATTCTCTCTTTTTACACTTTTTTTCTTAACTTTCACTCACGACTGACTGACTGACTGACTGACTGACTGACTGACTGACAACTTTTTTTTTGACAGGAGACAACATACAACTGACAGACGGACGATTGACATTGTTGCGGTAGGTGCGCTTATATATTTTCGCACATGCGCCTTGTAGAATTTTCTACAGATCGATCGATATTTCGATTATACTTTCGTTGTAAGTATCTCCATTTCGAAACTTCTACTTTTTTTATGAGGTTTTTTTTAAATAAATGATAAATCTGAAATTCTGAACTTTCAATTGAACGAAATCATTTTTTTGGAATATAAATTTTTTAAAACTAACTACAACAGTAAAAAATAATAAAATACAATAATCATTACATAAATTATAAATTTATTTTTAGCTACAGAAAGCAATATTTTATAATAAAATTTCAAGTTACAAAAGTAGGGAATAAATTTTTTATTCATTTGAACGTTTAAAACGAGGCGCATGATTAAACCCCAAATTTGTTTTTTAGAATTTTTATTTTCTCGAAAATCGTTTTATCTAAAAGGAACTGACTATAATTTTTTCAATTCGAATCGTCAGATTATATAATAAAAATACTTTCGAATTATTATTTGTCAGAATTTTTTAACTTCGAAAGAACATTTTTTATAATTTTCAATTTAACGAATAATTATTTCTCATAATTATTATTGTAGCGAATTAGTATTTTTTATAATTTTTATTTTTCCAAATAAAAGTTTATACTATTTTTGATTTTACATAGTTACCATTTCTTATATTTTTTTTCCTCGAATTACCATTTTGTACAATAAATATTTTTTCGAACAATTTTTTGTTTTAAAATGTAATTTATCAAATTTATATTTTTTCTATTTTTAAAAGTTACCATTTGCTATTTTATATAATGTTCATTTTACCGAATTGCCATTTCACATAATTTCTAAATTTTCTAATTATTATTTTTCCGAATTTTAATTTTAACGAATTATTTCTTTTGCAAATTAACATTTAACATTATTTTAATTTACCCTAATTTTTTTTTATTCAAATCTCTATTTTCTCGAATGGGTATATGACATAATTAGAGTTTTATAGAAACTTCATTTGTCCTAACATACTTCCGGTCAATTTCAGTACTGTAGTTTCACATCTATATTAATTTCTAGAATTTTTGCGCCACTTCCTGTGACGCACCCTACCACACCGACAAGAGATGGCGCCTCGTTTTAAACGTTCAAATGAATAAAAAATTTATTCCCTACTTTTGTAACTTGAAATTTTATTATAAAATATTGCTTTCTGTAGCTAAAAATAAATTTATAATTTATTTAATGATTATTGTATTTTATTATTTTTTACTGTTGTAGTAAAACCTTCCATGACCTTCTATGACATTCGATGACCTTCTATGAATTTCGATAACCTTCGATGACCTTCAATATCCAGATCCGTCCGCCGACACCGCACACAAGGTCGAATAAGCGAACACCCGCTCAGCCGCTGTTGCCTGATCAGGGCCATCGGCATGTATGCCAAGTCCCCAAAATAAGTTAATGCTCGAGATTACATCCCCCACAAAGAAGGGTTCAGTCCCGTCGCTCAGTCTTGACGTATTGACAGCTGACGGCAGCACGCCAGGTTCATCCTGGCTGGTACTGCCCGAGGGTATCTGGGCATACCTTTCCTCTTTGGGACTGTTGATCGTGCACTATGATACACAGTTTGAAAATGTTGCGTCAAAAGGCTAGCAATAAGGATACCGCTGACGGAACAACTGTTAGCTGCTATTTGACTGCTAGCCCTTTGCACGCCATCCCGACGTGGGCGGGGAGTAGGTTCAACTCCGCTCACGTCGAGGCTCCCGTTCTTCCGAACCTTCCTCCTTGTCACTCGGAACCCTTGGGTCGGTATCGTAGGTATACCATCTAGACATTCTGAACAAACGCAGAAAAACACCCTGTGAACTCACAGAAAATCGCAGTCATTAGACCAAAGAAGACGAAAACAATCGATGCTAGGCCGCCAATCCGATAGGCCTAGCTTGCTTGATGCTTTTTCAATTGTGACATCTCCATATTAATACGTCCGAAGACAACCTCCCGAGAACGTACGTCCGAGAAAAGCTGAGAGAGTAAACGACTGTGTACGATTTACCCAGAGAAAATTCCGAGAAAAATCCCGCTGGTCGCTGTGGAAAGTCCCTTCTCAACTTCTTCTTATTTAAAGATACTCTACTCTAAATTTTGCAGATTATTTTTACAATGTGCACCTCCGCCACTACAACTCTCTTATTGGTAGAAAAAGGCATTCTTATTTAAAACACTGAAAAAACGATATTTTAGATTTTAGAATGTTTACTTAAATAGGAGTTAAGAATATATTATTTATTGTAAGAATATTTTCCACTTACTTTAAGTGGGGAATACCCACTTGGAAAGATTCCCCGGAAAGTGCCCCCTGGAGGTTCTATCAGAATTCCGCCGGAACTTCCGACGTAATTCCATCGGAGTTCCACAGAAATTCCGATGGGATTCCGACGGAGTTCTGACGGAATTCCGATTAATTTTTTTCAAAATTTTTAGAGTCCTAATTCCGCTGGAATTCCGTCAGAACTCCGTCGGAATCCCATCGGAAATTCTTTGAAACTCTGATGGAATTCCGACGGAATTATGTTGGAAGTTCCGGCGGAATTCTGATAGAACCTCCAGGGGGCACTTTCCGGGGAATCTTTCCAAGTGGGATTCTTGGCTCCTATTAAGTAGACATTCTAAAATTTAGAATATCGTTTTTTCAGTGAATGATATGCTGTCTATACTAAATTTTCTATTAAACAATACATTGTGTCACGTTTAGCTAAGACCCCCCCTGATCCTCCTCAGTGCGTGACATCATTCATGAACGTTTCCTTATTCATAAATTTAAATTTAAAATTTTTAAATTATATTAGAAAAAATTCATGGTAATTAATTAGTTAATTAACTTACTTTAATTTAAAAGTTGATTTCTATCGAAAAAATTACTTTTTAACACCTAGTAAAATTATTTCTACTTAAAATTAATTATTTAAAATAAAATTTTTTCCCTCGCCGTAATTGAAACATTTTTAAGGTTTTCATTGGCTCCAATTACGGTGGGCAAAGTATCTTGAAAATACACGTAATTTTGGTGACCGTAATTGATACACCGAAACTGATACAAATGCGCCATAATAGAAAATTACGACATTAGTTTTAATTTCTCATATTTGATTAAATAATCGGTTTTTATAAAGTTAAAATTTCTTTTAAATATCTAAATAACATAAGTTTTTAGTTTAATAAGTCTTAAATTGACTTTGTACAATAGAAATGTCGAATTTTTTATTTCAAACGTGTTTTCACTTTAATCGCGCCGTAATTAGTACATTTACCCTACTTTCTGTTTTTCTTTTACATTAAGTTGATATTTTACTTCCCTAAACCAATTTTATGAGGAGATAGAAAATATATGTAAGGGATCATCCATAAAGCATCACATTCGTTATGGACAGCCCCTAACATTAAATAAAAAAAAACTGTTTAATTTATAAATTTCATAAAACAAGTATTGTTTTTAAGAAAAATCTAATGGAAAATTAATTTTAATCAGGCAAATGTCAAGAAATTCAAAGAAAAATACATATAAAAAAATCGTATTAGGTACCTATATAATAATTTAACTCGTTGAGAAACGTGTCATTATAAAAAATATTTTTAAAAAACCTGCCATTGTAATAAAGATTTTAAAAACATATGCCATCTCAGACGTCAACTTTTTGTTTACTGTTTTAGGTTGATAACACTATAATTAAGAAGCTGTTTAATAAAAAAATGAATGTTTTGTTCAATCAAATTATTTACTTGAAGATTTTTTTTAAATATTTTTTTTAATTAATAATTTTGAAATATCAGGCTAAAATTTCTAGCGACTTAATATTAAATGAATCAAATAATAACTTTTTTTTTATTAAACAACTTCTCATTTATAGTGTTACTAGAATGGCAGATTTCCCATATATTTTCTAGAATGTCATGTTTCTCAACACTCACCTAAATTGATGTGTTTCTGCACTTAATCGACGTTATGTACTTTTATAATGCGAAAATAATGTGAATAACTCAAATCGAGCTCAACATTTGTTTTCTTTTAAATTATAACTTTACAAGTCTAACTTCCTAAATATCAAATTTTCCAATATGTTTATTTAATTTTTTTTAATTTCGAATTTGCTTGGATCTTTATAAGTGTAATAATATATCTAAAACCGTTCGAGTTAAAGTTATCCTACCGAACAATAATAAACTTGGGAGCCATTCAAGTATTATACGTAAGCATAATGGTATGGTGCGTAAGCAACTATGTAACCTCTCCCTCCTCCTTAAATGTTTACGTAATACTTGAAAGACTCCTTGTGTTCCAATGTCAAATGCGAATAATTAAAAAAAATTGTTTAATCTGCAACTTGAATGCAGGTGCTGCAAAATTGGAAATCTCCCAAACTGAATGGAAATTTAAAGCACACTGTTCACAATAAATTACTGTCAACGAAGAGATTAGAATGCGATAGGTAGCTTATCGTGAGTCGATTCAGTTTTAAATGAAATATTAGCACCGGAATATGAAGGGTTTTCTCTCATTCTATTCTTTTTTTTGGCCGGAGCGCTGGTACTTTAATATGCACTGGTCTCATTATCTCGCCTGTCACGTTGAGACGGCACAAAATACCAATGAAAATGCAAATGCTTGAAAATAATCACGAAAATAAAAAAAGCACAAAACCTCGAATTGGCAGGTTTTGTATAAGCACGGCTTTTTTCATTTCTCTAGGTCTTCTATATATATATATACGTAGTTTCACTGTTTACAGCTTCGTAGTTATCACAAACGACTAGAAATGCAAAATTGTAGCGAAAAAAATAAAACAAAAATCACGAAAATACTACATGACAACATTTTTATGATTTTTCAGACCGGTTACCCCAGCTATCGAAGAAACAAGGTATTCAAATGATTAATATAATAAGCTATGCTTGCACAATTTTTCTATCACCTCCACACAAATCTGAATTAAATTATTATTATATTTCTTTAACTCTCAAATTCGTAAACATGATTTATCTCACAGCTTTACAATTAACTCGTGCAAGCAACACTTTTTCTCTCCCTAAAGCTTTTTGTAGTTTACAGTATGATTAACTGAAAATAAACCTTATGTCAAGTTTTCGAATATATATTGAAGAAAAACACAATTTTTAAATTTTTTTTTAATTTTGTTTATCTTTGAAAAAAATTAACGTTTAACGTTCTTTGACTCATTTTAAAGGTGTTTTTTTACATAAGTCAAAAGAATTTGTTCTCCCTTAAAGTTCATCGAGTCGTGAAAATTAAAAAATTAAAATTATAAAAATAAATTCAAAATTTTTAAAGTCATTTCTATAAAAAAATAATGTGTAAAAATCAAATAACAAATGATTTGTCTAACAAATTTGTTTTCTTTTTGTATTCTACAAAAAAGAGTTACATGATTTTGTCGAATTTTTTTTATCAAGCTGTTTATAAGATTTATAGGTATTTTGTAATTTATAGATTAAAGTCTGATTTTTAAGTTTGTATATTTTAACTTTTTTTATGAAAAACTTTTAAAAAATTACTTCCTTTTACAAAAATTTTAGGTCTGGTCCCGTATTGGGAAACAAATTTTTTAATTTATTATTTTTATTTTATGTTTCTAATATGTTTTACTCACTTTTTGCAACCAAATATATTATTTAATCATAATTTTTAAACTTTTTATTAATTAACTTTCATAATTACATTTATTTTTAGATTTCGTAAAATAAAAGTTATATGTGACTGCGCATGAAAAGTAAAAATTTATGACCAAATAATTGATTTTCACTTTTTTGTTGATACTATTCAAGTATAATAAGTAGTACAATAATAACTAGTTACTCAATGAATTTCAACTTCTAAATCAGTGGAATTTCAATATAGCATCACAAAGCTGAACACATTATAAGTTGGTTTGCTAGTTAGAACTCTGTACTCAAGTGCCTAAAGTTCAGGGTTCGATTCCCCGCTTACTTTTTTCATGGAATTAGATTTCAGTTTTTCAAAATTCAGAATGGGCTTTTCAATATACCTAGCAAAAAATGTCTTAAAATTGATTGGATTTACTTTTAACTTGATATACAGGAGTTTTTTGAGTCACTGTTTACGAATATAATAGCATATTTGTAACACATATTTTTAATAATTGTTTTATATGTTAATAATATTAATATTAATAACAATTGAAGCAATGTTAGAATATTGAGAAAATGTTTAGGGTCTGTTAGGGTATTTCAACAATTTTTAAATTTAGCGCCGAATCTATAGTTTTTGATTTTATATCATGGTTATACTTGTTAATTAACAACATTCTTTACTTAAAAATACTACTATCTGATTTCGTAAATTTCTGTGAAGCAACTTAAATAAAGTTGTTTTTAGAATTAAATATGAAAAACAGTTTAACTTATGTTTACCTAATTTTTAAACAATGGAATATTCACCTCAAAAATAATTTTAATATGGATGAAAATTTGCGTAGTCTAATTCTTACTTCATAGCACTTTTTTTAAACTAAATTAACATATGATGAGGATTTTCCACGAATTTTCTAAACGAGCAAATTTTTTCTCGACAGAATTTTTATTTGACATAGCTTAATTTTTCTTGAGAGTTTCCACTCTATTTAGTTTGTATTACTCGCGCATTAAGCAGCACAAGAAATTTCTGGATCATAAAATTGTTCAGGAAATTCAAATTAATAAAACCATAAAACTGTTTATCTGAATTAAGAAAAGTTTTATATCACTTTAAAAGAAATCATTCCAATTATCTCAAAAAATTGTTTAAGAATATAATTAATATGATAATAAAGTCACAAAACAAATTCTTTAAAATACGCCTTTCTTTTATCCAGAAAAAATGTAACTTTTCTTGCATTACATAATTTATGTAATGAAATAAATTATCATAATAGAAATTAATTATTCAAAAATTTTAATTGATTTTTTTAAAATAAAGATGAAATGGTTTCCTGCGTAAGTAACTTTCATATCGAAAACATGGCAGATATTGAAAGCAAATCGAATGCAAATTATCTGAATAATGTTAATAGGAAGTCATGATTTGTTGAGACCTTTTGCAATCGAAGAATGGACAATAGAGTAAAGTGGTAATTCATCACTTAATAATAATTAATAAAGTTGGAAATTCCCTAACTATACTGAATATATCTCATTCAATGTCTCGTCATGGAAAACAAGACTCATCGAATATAGCGGAAAATACTTGGCCTAAAACTTTTCTCTATCTCAGGTGGAAAAGTTCCCGGTAGTGACTACCGGTACCGCTACTTGTACAGTCACTACCGGTAGCGAATACCGATAATTTTTCCGGGAATCGCAACCAAAATTTTTTGTAATTCCCGGATAATTTTACGGCACTCGGTACAGACGCGATACTGGATTTATACCGATTTTCGGATCCGACTTACACCCAATGTAGGAAGAATATACTGTTTGATAGGTCAATACTGGTTCTGTACTGAGGCGGTTCCGACTTTCGGATGTTTAATAAAATGCAATTTCTAATTTATTAATAATAATTGTCCAGAAATTTCTTAGATAATAAATCGAATATTTATGCACTGAAAAAAATAGTATTAAATCCAGAAAATTTTACTTGCTTCAAGTAAACCGTGGAATTGAATAGGGACAAGTCAATTACGGCATTGGTTCAAGTAAACGATTGTCTTGAGATAGTATATTTGGGACGAGAGCATATATTCTTGATCCAAGAAAATATGAAATTCGAGCAATATATTAATCAACTTGTAACAAATGTAAAATACATTAAAGGAAGAAAATATTTTCTTGTTCTGAGAATATATGTAGTCAAATCAATTGTTTCATTTGATTCATTCAAATCTTTGCAATATTGGATCAAGTAAGACAAGATTTAAATCAAAATATTATTTATATTGTGATGAGACCATATGTTCTTGGTCCAAGAAAATATGGAATTCGTCTAAGAAGTTTATTGACTTCTAAGAAATGTAAAATATATTAAGTCAAGATCATATTGTAATGAATTTATTTGTCGTAAATGTTGCGATAGTAGAAAAAATACAATTTATTAATATAAAAAAAATATACAATTTATTGCACGATCGATTCAAAAAAAAGAATGTTTTAATATTGCCACTCCACAAATACTTTCAAATAATCTGATTAAAACACAGGACCTTTTATAATTAAAAATCGCTATTTACAACAAATTTTAATCTTGTGGTAACTCTTGGATATAGTGCGTCAATATGATAGCAGAAAATACAAAAAAACGAATACAATAGACATAAAATTAAATGTGTGATCAAGTAGTTTCGGATATAAAATTTTAAATTTTGGGGGGTAAAATAATTATTAACAATGAAACTCACCGCTGAATGTCAAATTTAATTTATAATTACCCAAAAGGCAATAGTCAGAGTTTTCGAAAAAAAAAAAACTTATAATATATATCTAGTAGCCACGTGGCGAAGAACGGCTGAGGAGCTGCGTCGTGCAGAATGCCAGGCGTGCTCGAACGAATTGCTCCTAAAACTTTATCGTTCTTAATTTTTGAATCCTCTGATATTCACCAAATTAATTTGTTGTCGTCACGGTGGCTCGATAGATTAGTTTTATCTCAGCAGTTGTAGTTCCAACAAAAATAGATTGAAAATTACGAAGAAGCCTCACGCAGTTCAACTCACACGGCGATAAAGAGGTAGTTCACCAACCGCCCAATAGGGCGTAGCGAGCAACTTATTTGACCGCGCTTGGCGCGTCTATATTAAATTATAATAATTAGTGACCCGTAACCCCTTTACACAATGGGTTCGGGTGCCTGTGGCGACGGACTGGAGTGGCAATATTAAAACATTCTTTTTTTTGAATCGATCGTGCAATAAATTGTATATTTTTTTTATATTAATAAATTGTATTTTTTCTACTATCGCAACATTTACGACAAATAAATTCATTACAATATATATATTAACTCAAGAAAATATTTTCTTGACTTGAGAAAACTTATGGAGTTGAACCAAAAAAATATTTTTCCAATACAAGTAAATATTTACTTGAATTTACGCCCCCCCTTCCTACACTTCTTCCTTATCCCACCATGTCTAATTCTTAAGTCAAACATTTTTATTTATTATTAACATTCATATTTTTTATTATTTATTTAAATAATGTTTATATTACATACACATTTATATTTAATTAATACTTAACACAACTAAAACAAGTATACCTTGAATGAAAATTTTTCACGGTCCGAGGAACTGAACCCGACTTGCGCGCACCAAAGGCAGTAACGAAGACCACTATGCCATCCTGACTCAATTGATGGTTTTCAAAACCTCCTATTTAAGTATCACATCCATTTGGAGAGAAATATTTTCTTGGATCAAGAATACGGGATTTGTATTAAGTAAAAAATTATTTCAAAGCAAATGCATAAAACTATTTGATTCAAGAAATGAAAATTCTTCAGACAATATTTTATTATTTTGCTTAATAACCTAATATTCTTGATTGAATACTTTTTGATACTTCGGTAAAATAAAATATTGGGTTGCGATAATAACATATTTACTTCTGCCAAATACTACCCTATTGAAAATCCCCACATGGGATCCTATGTAAAATCCCATTCCCATATGGGAAACCACATGGGAAATTGGGACAGGAAATGGCATAGGAAAATATCAAAAAAAGGTTCGTCATTTCCCATGTCATTTCCTATGTCAAATCTCACGTCAAATATCATGTTAAATACCATGTTAAATACTAATTGAGATTCTTTATCATTTTTTTGAAAAATTTTCCCATGTCATTTCCCATATCATTTCCCATGTGAAATCCTTTATCATTTTTTTTAAAAATTTTCCCATGTCAAATC